CAGCCCACAGACCAGGGAACTGCTCATTGACCAAAAACCAACACACAGCCCAAAGACCAGAGACCAGGGAACTGCTCATTGACCAAAAACCAGCCCACAGACCAGGGAACTGCTCATTGACCAAAAACCAGCCCACAGACCAGGGAACTGCTCATTGACCAAAAACCAACCTGGTTTTTGGTCAATGAGCAGTTCCCTGGGAACTGCTCATTGACCAAAAACCAACCCACAGCCCAGAGACCAGGGAACTGCTCATTGACCAAAAACCAGCCCAAAGACCAGAGACCATTGACCAAAAAACAGCCCACAGACGAGGGAACTGCTCATTGACCAAATCCAGCCCACAGACCAGGAAACTGCTCATTGACCAAAAACCAACCCACAGCCCAGAGACCAGGGAACTGCTCATTGACCAAAAAACAGCCCAGAGACCAGAGACCAGGGAACTGCTCATTGACCAAAGACCAGAGACCAGGGAACTGCTCATTGACCAAAGACCAGGGAACTGCTCATTGACCAAAGACCAGAGACCAGGGAACTGCTCATTGACCAAAAACCAGCCCACAGCCCAGAGACCAGGGAACTGCTCAGTGACCAAAAACCAGCCCACAGACCAGGGAACTGCTCATTGACCAAAAACCAGCCCACAGACCAGGGAACTGCTCATTGACCAAAAACCAGCCCAGAGACCAGGGAACTGCTCATTGACCAAAAACCAGCCCACAGACCAGGGAACTGCTCATTGACCAAAAACCAGCCCACAGACCAGGGAACTGCTCATTGACCAAAAACCAGCCTTACAGGGCCGAGGAACTGTTGACCCAAAACCAGCCCACATGAACCAGGAACTGCTCATTGACCAAAACCAACCCACAGACCAGAGACCAGGAACTGCTCGTGACCAAAAAACAAGCCCCTGGAGCCAGGAACTGCTCATTGACCAAAAACCAGCCCACAGACCAGAGAGCTGCTCATTGACCAAAAACCAGCCCAGAGACCAGGGAACTGCTCATTGACCAAAAACCAGCCCATAGACCAGAGAGCTGCTCATTGACCAAAAACCAGCCCACAGACCAGAGACCAGAGAGCTGCTCATTGTCCAAAAACCAGCCCCACAGACCAGAGACTAGAGAGCTGCTCATTGACCAAAAACCAGCCCACAGACCAGAGACCAAAGAGCTGCTCATTGACCAAAAACCAGGGAACTGCTCATTGACCAAAAACCAGCCCACAGCCCAAAGACCAGAGACCAGGGAACTGCTCATTGACCAAAAACCAACCCACAGCCCAAAGACCAGAGACCAGGGAACTGCTCATTGACCAAAGACCAGAGACCAGGGAACTGCTCATTGACCAAAAACCAGCCCACAGCCCAGAGACCAGGGAACTGCTCATTGACCAAAAACCAGCCCACAGACCAGGGAACTGCTCATTGACCAAAAACCAACCCACAGCCCAAAGACCAGAGACCAGGGAACTGCTCATTGACCAAAAACCAGCCCACAGACCAGGGAACTGCTCATTGACCAAAAACCAACCCACAGCCCAAAGACCAGAGACCAGGGAACTGCTCATTGACCAAAAACCAACCCACAGACCAGGGAACTCCTCATTGACCAAAAACCAGCCCACAGACCAGGGAACTGCTCATTGACCAAAAACCAACCCACAGACCAGAGACCAGGGAACTGCTCATTGACCAAAAACCAACCCACAGCCCAGAGACCAGGGAACTGCTCATTGACCAAAAACCAACCCACAGCCCAGAGACCAGGGAACTGCTCATTGACCAAAAACCAGCCCAAAGACCAGAGACCAGGGAACTGCTCATTGACCAAAAAACAGCCCACAGACCAGGGAACTGCTCATTGACCAAATCCAGCCCACAGACCAGGAAACTGCTCATTGACCAAAAACCAACCCACAGCCCAGAGACCAGGGAACTGCTCGTGACCAAAAGCAACCCAGAGACCAGAGACCAGGAACTGCTCAGTGACAAAGACCAAGGAACTGCTCATTGACAAAAGAAACCAGCCCACAGCCAAGACCAGGAACTACTCGTGGCCAAAACCAGCCCACAGACCAGGGAACTGCTCATTGACCAAAAAACCAACCCACAGCCCAAGGCCAGGAACCAGGGAACTGCTCATTGACCAAAAACCAGCCCACAGCCCAAAGACCAGAGACCAGGGAACTGCTCATTGACCAAAAACAAACCCAAAGACCAGAGACCAGGGAACTGCTCATTGTCCAAAAAACCAGCCCACAGACCAGAGACCAGGGAACTGCTCATTGACCAAAAACCAGCCCAGAGACCAGGGAACTGCTCATTTACCAAAAACCAGCCCAAAGACCAGGGAACTGCTCATTGACCAAAAACCAGCCCACAGACCAGAGACCAGGGAACTGCTCATTGACCAAAAACCAGCCCAGAGACCAGGGAACTGCTTATTGACCAAAAACCAGCCCACAGACCAGGGAACTGCTCATTGACCAAAAACCAACCCAGAGCCCAGAGACAAGGGAACTGCTCATTGACCAAAAACCAGCCCACAGACCAGTGAACTGCTCATTGACCAAAAACCAACCCACAGCCCAGAGACCAGGGAACTGCTCATTGACCAAAAACCAGCCCAGAGACCAGGGAACTGCTCATTGACCAAAAACCAGCCCACAGACCAGAGACCAGGGAACTGCTCATTGACCAAAAACAAGCCCAGAG